CTCGGCGGGGTCGCAGCTGCCTCTGCGCGTCCTGGGGAGGTACATTTGTTGCGCGCCGGAGACGACTCGACGTCGCTGAGATCGGAGATCAAGCTCCGACAGGTCGCACGTCGCTCCTTTGACGCCGACGTGACTCACCCGTGCAGATCACATCAGGACACGGTCTCGACGCCCTCGGTACGACGCCTGCGACCCGTCTTGGGTCAGGTGGCACGACGCTCATCGCGCCTGCCAGCGCTGCCGTGCAGGCTGCCACGACGAGGTCGAGCACGCTTCTATACGCTCGCCCAGCCTTCCTTTCCATCCCATTAGGCAGCCTGGGAACGGTGGCGGTCAGAGGCAAAGCCTACGAGGGGTGGTGGAACCAACATGTCGCGGCCACCGCCGGCTCGACCCCACGATAGCCTCCGGAGGCTGACTTTGAGGCACCATCATCGGACGATGTCGACGAGTTGGGTCGCTCTCGCGGTAGCCAGATGACCTCCCATGCTAGTATCATCGGCTAGGGCCGCAGGAAGCGCGGGGGAGGGCGCTGGGAGCAACACGGAGCTCCGTTGGACGTTTTCAAGATTAGCGTGTCAGAGTGAAATGGAGAACTAGCCTAAAGTACCCTCTAGCTCCGTCCCGTGCTCCCGTCGCAGCGTCACCCGTCCACGGTCCAGCCCATGCGCGTTGTCTGACTGTTATCTTCGTCTTTCTTTTGACTTAGCCGAACACAGAGTGAGTGAATCAAGCTCGTCCGCTCACCAAGAGCTAGCTAGCCGTCCGGCCTTGCGAAACGTGCGAGCCGGGGCGGGGCCAGTCGGGGCTTGCCTGCCTGTCTGACTGTTTGCAGAGACGCAGCCAATGCGAGCGTGTCCAGCGTGTGTGCAGCGTGTGGCTCGTGGCCGCCCAGATCTCAGAGCTCGCCGGATCTGTGAGACGTGCGTCACGGGGCGAGAGCCGCCTCTGCGGCGGCCATCGCAGCCTCCGCCGCGCCAACCTTTTGGCACTTGCCTTGGAAGCGCCCCCCCCTCCCGCCGCCGCGCCCCTCCAGCGCCGCCGCCACGCCGCCGCTCGCAGCGTCGACGAGGTCGGGCGGCCCCGCAAGTGTGAAAGTGCCCTCCCCCGCCCCCGGCCCCGCGGTAACGAGGAGCAGCCCCTGCGCCTCGGCCAGCGCCTAGACACTTCCTAGACACTTCCTAGACACTTCCTAGGCGAGGAGCAGCCCCTGCGCCTCGGCCAGCGCCTCGTCGAGCGACGCCGCGAGAGCCTTGACGAAATCCGCGTCGGCGGCGGGGCGGTGGACGTGCAAGGCCCGCTCGCCTAGGAAGTGTCTCGGAAGTGTCTCGGAAGTGTCTAGGAAGGCGGTGGACGTGCAAGGCCCGCTCGCCGTTGTCCAGCCGACAGCGCAGCGCCTGCCCGAGCGGGGGGGGCGCTCGGCAGCGAGACAGCCTCACTCTCCCCTCCTCTCCCCTCCTCTCCCCTCCTACACCCCTCTCTCATCTCCTCTCCCCTCCTCTCCCCTCCTACACCCCTCTCTCATCTCCTCTCCTCTCCTCTCCCCGCCTCCTCTCCTCCTCCTCTCCTTTCTCTCCCCCCCCCCTTCTCTCCTCCTCCCCCTCCCTCTC